AAAACAGCAAGCAACAAATGCTGGTGAGGTTGTGGAGAAACTGGAACCCTTATTCACTGCTGGAAGTGTAAAATTGTGCAACCACTGTGGAAAGTGGTGTGGATCTTTCTAAGAAAGTTGCATATAGAGATACCATTCGACCCGGCAATTCCACTACTGGGAATATACCCTAAAGAGACCATAACTGCCATCCAAGCAGATATATGCACACCCATGTTTATCGTGGCTTTGCTCACAATAGCAAGGAGTTGGAAACAACCTAAGTGCCCATCAACAAATGAATGTGTAGAGAAGCTGTGGTATATTCACACAATGGAATACTATGCTGGATTGAAAACAAAGGAACTTATGCAATATTATACAAAATGGGTGACCCTGGAGGACATTATGCTGAGTGAAATATCTCAGTTGCAAAAAGACAAATACTGCATCGTGCCATTGATGTAGAATGAGACTGACATCAGGGTTGGGGTAAGACTGAGAAAAACTGTATATATTATGTATACTACAAATCTAAACATTCAGATTAAGACAGACTAGGAAGAAGGATTGGCCATCCACTTCTGAAATGGCAGGCCTCTGAAAACCCTATGTACAATACAACACATGTAGACGAACAGAAAGGGCAACCTAGGTAGAACTGTCAAGCATGGAAATACAAAGGAAGAGGAACAGTTGTAAGCAGACACTAGTGATTGGAACATGGAATGTGAGAACCATGAATGTAGGAAAATTAGAAATTGTTAAGAAAGAAATGGAACGCATAAATATTGACATACTAGGCATTGGAGAGATGAGATGGACCGGCATGGGGCATTTCGAGTCAGATGATCATATGATATACATGTTGTAAGGAGAGACAGGTCTTTAGAGAGGGACATCGTGCTGGGTAGAGTAGAGGGACAGCGCAGGAGAGGAAGACCCTCTATGTGGTGGATTGATTCAGTGACTGGGGTAATCAGGATGGGTGTGTCAGAGGCAATGAGATTGGCACAGGATAGAGCAGGGTTTAGGGCTGTTGTACATAGGGTCGCTATGAGTCGCAAACGACTCGACGGCACATAACATCAACAACAACAACAGCATTGAAACAGATGAGGGAGAGAATAGTTTAAAAGCAATATATGATAGGGTATTATGGTTATCACAAGAGTCCAGAATTAAGGTTGCATAGTGGAGTGTACTGGGGGGTGGGGTGGGGGATTGTATATCAATGAAGGAATTTTACTTTTCAAAGAGAGGAGCAAACTGGGGGGGAGGGGTGGGCAGGGAGAAAAGTGCAACAATGAATGAATGAATGGAAATCCAAAATCTCTGTAAATATTCATTAAAAGGAATAAAAAAAATTAAAAAACCTTTCTTAAAAAAACAAATTTTTCTTGCTTGCAGTAAGAAAAAGACAAGCAACCTAATTATAGAATGGGCAGAGAACATGAAAAGACACTTCACCAAAGATGACCTTCAAATGGCCAACAAATACATGAAAAAATATTCAAGATCTTTAGTTATTAGAGAGATACAAATCAAAACAATGTGATATCTCATCCTGGCAGTGTTCAGCAAATAATAGCAAAATTCTAAAGATAGCAAGCAACAAATGCTGGTGAGGGTGTAAACAGTTTGGAGCTCTTCATATACTGTTGGTGGGAATATAAAATGGCACAACCACTGTGAAAATTAGTTTGGCACTTTCTTAGTAAATTGGGAATAGAAAAACCATCATAAATTAATTGGTGCCTAATTTCTTGTCACTTAAAAAAATATCACTGTTTCCTGAACATTGGTTCTTCTCTACCCTTCTGCTCTTGTAGCCACTACTAAGTAATAGATTCCAAAGAAATAGAGCACAAACTAACATGCACACACCCATGTTTGTTGCACTGTTATTTATAATAGCAGGAGATTAGAAATTAACCAAGTAGTCATCAGTGGACAGGTAACTAAAGTAACTATGATACAGGTACATCCACATAATGCAGTACCTTGCATCACTAAAAATCAATAAAGAATTCATGAAACACTACAACGTGGGTGAATCTAGAGGAAATAAGAAAAGTATTATAAGGGAATGTGTGGAGAGCTATAATTGGAGATTAAAAAGGGAAGAACTGAAAAAAAAAGGAAGAACTCACTCTGCATTTCTCAAGATGAGAGAACAGAAGAACAAATTTAAGCCTTGAGTTGTAATATTGAAACATGCTATGGACAGTATATTGAATGACCCAGAAAGCATCAAAAGAAGATGGAGGGAAAACACAAATGACTGTACCAAAAAACCCAGAATGACACTGAAAAATTTCAGGAAGTACCAGATGAGCAGGAGCCAACAGTGATGAAGGAGGAAGTGGAAGCTGCATTGAAGGAATTGGCCAGAAATCAGGCCCCAGGAATTGATGGGATACCAATTGACTTGGTTCAATTAACATATGCAACCTTGCTATTCCAGGAAATTTGGAGGATGGCTCTCTGGCCAAGGGATTAGAGGAGGTTCATATTTGTTCCCATTCCCAAGGAAGGTGATCCAACAGAATGTGGAAGCTTATAGAACACAATCATTAATATCACATGCAAGCAAAATTCTGCTGAAGATCATAAAAAAAAGGGTCAAGGTATACAAACTTTGTAGGTAAACCAGTATTAAAAAAAACCCCACAAAACCAACACACAAAACAATTGCAAGGGAATAATAATAATAATTTTAAAAAAAGTCTAGAAGAGTACATAACTAGGGAACTGCCAGAATTTCAAGCAGGATTTAGAAGAGGCCACGGCATCAGGGTTATCATTGCTGATGGATCCTGGCTGAAAGTAATGAATAGCAGAGGAATGTCTATGTATGCTTTATTGACTGTGCAAAGACATTTGACTATGTGGATCACAAAAAGTTGTTGCTGACATTGAGAGGAATTGGAATCTCAGAGCACTTAATTGTGCTCCTGTGAACCTATACCTGGACCAGGACTTTTGTGCTAACAGAGCAGGGAAACAGTGCATGGTTTAAAATTAATAGTGCATAAAGGTTGTGTTTTCTCTCCCTACCTATTCAGTCTGTATGATGAGCTTATATTTGAGAAGCTGGACTCTATGAAGAGGAATATGGCATTGGGATTGGAGGGAGACTCATTAATAACCTGAGATATGTAGATGACACAAACTTTGCTTGTTGAAAGTGAGGAGGACTTGAAGCACTTGTTGTAGAAGATCAAGGAATGCGGCCTTCAGTAGAGATTGATTCTAAATGTCAATAAAACAAAGATTCTTATCATTGGACCAATAGGCAACATCATAATGGAGGGAGAAGAGATTGAAACTATTAACAGTTTTATCCTACTTGAATTCACAGTTAACACTCTTGGTATCAGCAGTTAGGAAATAAGGAGATGCATTGCACTGGGAAAGTCTACAGTTAAGAACCTCTCCAAAATACTGAGGAGTAATTCCAATTCAGGGCATGGTCTTTCTTATTACTTGCAGTACACCTGAGAGCAGGACAATGAATAGAGATGACAGAAGAATGATGCCATTAAGCTGTGGTGTTGGAGAACACTGAACATCCCATGGACAGCCAAAAAACCAAACAGTATGTCTTGGAGAAGGTGCAGCCAGAGTGCTCTTTGGAGGCGAGGATGATGAGGCTTTGCCTCACTTACTTTGAGCATCTTACTAGGAAGGGCTTTTCCTTCTTTGGAAGGGTGGAGGGTCAGCGAAGGAGAGGAAGACTCTCAATTAAGTGGATTGACAAGGTGACTGCCACAATGGGCTTTAGTTTATCAGGAAGTGTGAAAATGGCACAGGATAGGACAATATTTGGATCTGTTGTTTATAGGGGTTGCTATGATTCATACTCAACTGACAACAACACCAACAACAGCAGTAACAAAGAAAGTTTACATACTGAAACATTCTTGGGTGATTACCAGGAATGGGAAGGGAGATGAGAGGCTAAGTTTGGTGAAGGAAAGATAATAATGCAGTAAAGGGTTGATCACATATTGCAGTAAATGAATTACATTAATAAAGTATAACTGTGTTATAAAAACAAAGTGTGTATATGAATGAAAAATCAATATGGTTTTTAAACTTTCATTTAAAAAGAGGACATAAGAAAAAAATGCTTGTTTCTCTCCTCATTTGCCTCTTTCTTACTGACTGACAGCCATTTGAGGATAGAGAACTATGGGAGAGTAAGAATTGAAGACCAAGATACCCCATGGTAAGCATAATGGCAAACTAGTCACTAGTCTTTTTCAGCTCTGGAAAAAGAATTCCAAAAGTGTTTTTGTGCAGTGCTAATCTTTAATGGACACATTCATTTGATGCTTCAGTTCCATTGACTGGTAGAAAACCAGCAAAAGCAGGCTAATTGCTTTATAGTCATAACTTGCAGCCAGTACTTTAAAATTATTTGGTAAATGAGTAATAATAAATAGATCTACCTACCTAAACATACCTACAAAATGGAATACTATTCAGTCATACAGAGAAATGAAGTCCTGGTACATATTACAACATGGATGCATCCTGGAAGCATGATACTGAGTGAAAGAAGTCAATCGCAGGAGGACAAATGTTGCATAATCTCACCTACAGGAAATACTAAGAATAAATAAATGTACAGAGATGAAAGTTTAGTAGTGACTCCAAAGGAGAGGTGTGGGAGAGGACACCCATTGTTTAGGAAACAGTGAATTTTTTTTTTTTTATTGAGATGGGAAATTTGTCAACAATTAGTAAGTCAACATGATTGATGTAATATCTAAATTGTACACCTGAAATGTTGCATATTTTATATTCTCAGTACTAAAAATAGATTTAGAGACTGCTGCAATTTTAACTCATCTGTTTTCCAGGAAAATGTATAGTGGCAGTTATTCAGGTTAAATATTTATTTATTTCCTTTTAAGGCTTGATAGAAACTTTGCATATTATCTCATTTTTCTACATCTGAATTATTTCAAAACATAAAACTTATCTTTGATATTTACTGTTTTAATTAACAGAGATGGATGATGAAGACTGTGAAAGAAGAAGAATGGAATGTTTAGATGAAATGTCCAATCTTGAAAAACAGTTTACCGATCTCAAAGATCAGTAAGTAGTGGCTTAGAAGGTCATTTTAGTGGAATCTCAACCATGTCACATGTGTATGAGCATGAGTCTGAGCTCTTTTACCTTCTGTATTTTATTAGATTGATCTGAAATAGTCTTTGATAATTGCCTGCTGAAGGTCTTACTGACTAAACTGTAGGCTTAGAGGTAGGAATTTTTTTAGGAGGGTGGGTTTCTTTGTGTCTATTGGTGATTAAAATCTTCCCCTGTATTGCATCCATAGCTCTAATCTGCTCAGTGATCTTAATTTTGGGAGAAATGCTTTCTTTTTGTATCTTACATTGCACAGTACATAGTACATCTGGTTGTATATGCATTTTAAAAATTTGCTTCTGCAGCAACTCTGTGAGGCATTGTTGTTGTTGTTATGAGCCATTGAATTTGGAACCAACCCATAGCTGAGCCTGCCATAAATTTGCAGGGGCTGTAAATCTCATGGGAGAATATTGTCCATCTTTCTCCTGCAGAGCAGCTGTTGGATTTGAACCAAGTGCCTTTGGCTTGGCAGCTCAACTTATCATGCAGCCACCAGAGCTGCCTCTGTGAGGCTATAAAAGTCTTAGCCTATGAGAAAATTCATGTTAAAGATAGTTATTTCATGCGACTACAATAAATATCATAAATGAGTGTCTTCTTTTAAATTTTTATTAAACCAAAAGTTCTTTTCTTACAGTTTGTTGTTAGGTGCCGTCTAGTACAACTCATAGCAACCCTATGAATAGCAGAGCTGAACCTTATCCTGTCCAGTGTCATCCTCACATTTTTAGGCATACTCGAGCCCATTGGTTTAGTCACTGTGTTAATCTATCTGATTGAGGGTCTTCCTCACTTTCACCAACCCTCCACTTTCCCAAGCATGATGTTCCCCTTTAAGGAATAATCTCTCTTAGCAACATGCCAAAAGTATGCGAGACAAAACTTCATAATCTGTTTCCAAAGAGCACTCTGGCTGTACCTTCTTCAAGATGTTATCTGTTTGTTTTTTGGCAGTCCATGTTGTTTCATTGATTATGGAAAGGCATTTGACTGTGTGGATCATAACAAACTGTGGCTGACTCTGAGAAGAATGGAAATCCCAGAACACTTGACTGTGATAATGCAAAACCTATACTTGGACCAGGAGGCAATTGTCAGAACAGAGCAAGGAAACACTGCATGGTTCAAAATAGAAAGGGTGTATGCCAGGGGTGTGTCCTGTCTCCATACCTTTTCAATCTTTATGCAGAACAGGCTATCTGGGAGGCTGGGCTCTATGAGGAGAAATGTGGCATCAGGATTGGAGGAAGAATCATCAATAATCTGTGTTATGCAGATGACACAACCCTGCTTGCTGAAACTGAGGAGGACCTGACGTGTTTGCTGTGTAATGTCAGGGATTACAGTCTTCAGTATGGATTAAGACTCAATATCAAGAAAACAAAGATTCTCACCATTGGGCCAATTGGCAGCATCATGATGGATGGTGAAGAGATTGAGGTTGTTCACAGTTTTGGTTTGCTTGCATCCACAGTCAACACTCTTGGCAGCAGCAGCCAGGAAATGAAAAGACATATTGCGATGGGAAAGGCAGTGGTTAGAGACCTCTCTAAAGTGCTGAAGTGCAAGGATGTCAGTCTGAAGACTAAGGTGCGCCTGATCCATGCAATGGTCTTTGCAATCACTTGCTATGCATCGGAGAGCTGGACAATGACTAGGGATGATAGAAGGAGAATTGACGCCTTTGAGCTGTGGTGTTGAAGAATAGTATTGAGGGTACCATGGACTGCTAGGAAAACAAACAGGTTTGTCCTGGAGAGGGTGAAGACGGGCTGCTCCTTGGAGGCAAGGATTCTGAGGCTT